GATACGTTCCGTCACTCGGAGTACGAAATGTACCTCGTTTCCCGTGCCCGGGCTAACTCCTATTCCGGACATGATGCAATATGCATGATATGCATGAAAATGCAACTAATATACAATCTTAGCATGTCCCTTTCTCTATGCCAAACATGCATCTAGGTTTATTATGAATAAAACCCCAACTTTTGTAGAATAGCACAAAAGCCCCAAACTTTCACAAAACTACCAAACCAACCCAAACATCTCAAAATACTAATATCTAAGGACAAAATCCATAGAGAGGAGTAGGATATCCCTACCTCAAATCCGGAGCCCCAAAGAAGAAGATGACAAAACCCAACGTTCTCCAAAACCCAAAATTTTCAGATTAAAATGTAGCCCTCGACGATCAACAACTTTTTTGTAAAGGCCAAAGATGAGCAAATCACTCCTACTAGATCAAAACCTAGAGAGAAGGTAGAGTTCTAGAGTGAGAGGCTCAACAATGGTGTTTTTGGAAAAGTAGGAGAGAGAAGAGAAAGTGAAAAAGTGATTTGAAAAGTCAAAACTCGGAACTTAAACCCAGTCTCCCCGCTCGAGCGTCCAATGCCCCGCTCGAGCGTCACTCACAGACTCCCGCTCGAGCGTCAACAATCCCGCTCGAGCGGCGGATACACACTCCCAGAACTTTTGCAGACAGGTCTCCCGCTCGAGCTTCCAACTCCCCGCTCGAGTGGCGCTCACACAATCCCGCTCGATCGACCAATCCCACGCTCGAGCGTCGAACACTGCACAGGAAATACTGGATGGTTGAAACTCCCGCTCGAGCGCCAAAACCCCCGCTTGAGCGGACAGGTCAAAATCTGGGCAACTAGTTTTGGTTTCTAATCTCAACCAACCTGTAACAAATCTGCCCAACACATCCTATAACTCAAATACAAAGAAAGAAAGGATGTACACAAGGTAATGATCAACTACTAACATCCACAGACACATGTTCGGATCACTGTACGACAAGGATAAACCCGGGATCGCTATATTTTCTCTCTCTAACTCTATTCAATCACCCCAATCTTCTCCATCTCCACCATGGTGAATTCCTTAAACTATTTTCTAGTCCATTTTGCTTCGTTAGGGTTCATTTTCTGGGTTTATATACGTTGTAGATACATATATATACATGCATTTATGTTTATGTAGATGCAGTTTGAGTTGGTGTGTTTTGCTGGTTGATCTGTCATCTCCATGGTTTGTGAATACTTTCTACGATTTGCTTCAATTTCTCAGCTCATGGATATGATTTTGATTGATTTTGATGGTTGATCTCTGAATGTCGTGTTGATTTCGATTCGTATGATGGTCTAACATTGATTCATTTGGTTTCATAGACTGATTTCATTCGTATGATTTGTTTCGTGTTTTGTTAAAGGAACTGATTAGGGTCTATCCGTGTTTTTTAAGGCAAAAAGCGAACCGAGGCGACATGGTCACCTAACGCCTAAGCGCGAGGCGATGAGGCGAGGCGAGGGTTTCATCGAAGCGAGGCGACCAGAAAGGATATTTTTTTAAAATAAATGGTATAGACAAAAATATAAATATTTTCAAGAACCATCATGCAGTTATCATTCCAAATACTAAATATCCATAAACAAAAGAACATATCCAACAAAGACAAATACAATCCACTAATCCAAAAGTTCTAAAATTCACCTTCAACATCAAGCAAATGAACTTCTTCTTCATTATCATTGGCGTCAGCATATCCCTCTACATCTTCTTCCTCTCCCCCATCTGAAATTGACTCTTCCTCATCAATAAGTTGCAATCTAGGTCTAGCTGCAGATTTTGAAGTTGAACAACCCCTTTCTATTGCCCTTGTTGATCTAGTTCTTTGACTACTTTCCTCAACTCCAACAGCTCTAGCAATATCATCCCATGTCAAAGTATCATCCTCGAAGACAAGTTCCTCCTCCATCCTCCCAACCAACCACTCGTTACTTTCATCAATATCCGTCAAAGCAATGGGATCAATAGTGTCACGGGAATTGTATCGACGTCTCAATGCTCTTTTATACTTAACAAATACCAAATCATTCAGACGTTTTTGAGCTAACCTATTTCTCTTTTTGGTGTGAATCTGCAAAAATTCAAACCAAATAAAAATATTCAAATATTTATCTAGGTATTAATAAATTTATAGGTATTCATATTCACTATAGTTAAAATAGGTACTCACATGTTCAAACACACTCCAATTCCGCTCACATCCAGATGAGCTACAAGTTAGACTAAGAATTTTGATGGCGAATGTTTGCAAATTTGGCGTTTCAGAACCATATGCAGTCCACCAATCAGCTGTTGATTATAACTAATTAATTAGAAAGAATATTTAAAATATAAAAAACTAACTAAAATTACTTAAGTATAAAATATAGATCACCTGGTGCCCTTGTAGTTCTTTGTCTAATGGTCAAAGCCATCGCAAAGAGACCATCAGCTTTCTTATAGGTAGTCAACTCTGCGCAAACTTTATCTTGTGTCTCATTGCTTGGGACCAACCTTTGTATGCATTTATACAGGCCTGACATGACTTCCTTATCTTTCTCAATATTCGGATTTGCATAAAAATACTCTGGGTTTAAATAATACCCAGCTGCATGCAAAGGCCTATGCAATTGAACATTCCATCTATTGTCAATTATTTCAAAAAACTCCTTGTACTTCTCTTCATTTCCATTAAATGATTTTGCAATGGCTTCTTTAGCCCTATCCATTGCCTCATAAATATATCCCATGGGAGGCTTTCTCTCACCATCAACTAATCGCAGTACACGAACAAGAGGACTTGATATTTTGAGAGCATAAAGAACATTGTTCCAAAAAGAAGGCATTAATATGACTTGTGCGATCTTTTTACCCTGTGGTTCCTTCGCCCATTTGCTTGTGGTCCATTCCTCTGAAGTGAACATCTTCTTCAAGTTGGTTTGTTGTTGATGAATCCTTGATAAAGTTAGAAAAGCAGTTGCAAATCGAGTTTTTGCTGGCTTGATCAAATCCTTGCACTGGGTAAATTGCCTCATCATATTCAACAAACCAGAGCAGTTCACAATATAACCATGCACCGCAATTGCCTTTTCAAATGTCTTGTTGAAGTTGGGAATTTTAAAAATGTCCTCCAACATCAAGTCCAAGCAATGAGCTGCACATGGTGTCCAATACAAATGTGGCCACTTTGCCTCCAAAAACTTTCCTATTACAAGTTTTTTTTTTAAAAAAAAGAATAATATGAGAATTGCATATTCATATTGTAAGTAAGTACTAAGTAAATGTATACTACGAAGTTACTAACCGGCCAACACAATTGCTGAGGCACTATCTGTAACAACTTGAACCACGTTGGCTTCACCAATACGCTCCACAAAGTTGTCAAGCAATTCAAACATCTTATTTGCATCCTTCGATAAGCTAGAAGCATCAACGGATTCAATATACATTGATCCTCTTGGGCAATTAACCAAAAAATTAATTAATGCCCTGTTTCTTTTGTCCTTCCGCCCATCGGCCATTAAAGAGCATCCATATGTTACCCAATCTTTTTTATGATCCTCCATGGTCTTATTAGAGTGGTCTACCTCTTTCTGCAAATAAGGAACCCGCACCTCATGGTAGCTTGGTGGTTTCATGCCAGGACCATATTGCCCAAAAGCTTCAGCCATTGGCCCAAAACTATTGTAGTTCACAACATTGAAAGGTATACCTGTATCATACATCCACCTCGAAAACCAAACAAGAGCCCGATCTCTCAACACCTTCTTGCTAGGATCATTATCATCAATTCTTGTTTGCTTTCCCTTGGCTTTACGATTTTGCACTGCAACTTCCGGATCAGGGGTGAAGTACACATCCATGGGTCCCTTTTGCTTTGGTTGTTTGGAACCAACAGATTTGGAGGAGTTACTTCCTTGTTCTCGACGGGTAGAACCTTGAGTAGAAACAGGCCTTTACCATGTTGATTTATCTCAAGAATTTCATCATCATCATCGTCATCATTATCCATCTCATCAAAATCAGGAACCATCCTCAATTGCACCTTTGATTGACTTTTTTGAGACATATAGTCTTTAATCTCATCTTTGACATGAGATGGACATTTTTTACAAGCAACAACATTTTTATAACCACCAGCAAGATGTTGCTTGACTCGGTAAACACCGTCATTCATTTCTTTGTCGCAAAAGTTACAAATGAACTTTGAAAGGTTTTGGCGATTTACCATCCGTGCATATTGCCATGCCGGATCTTTTTTACTTTCACTTGACTTCGACATTAATTCTATCCAACAAGCAGTTCAATGTTTCAGCATAAAGAAATTAAAGAACATATTTTAACAACATTAAAGAACATAAAGAAATTAAAATAGTTGAAATTAATTGAATTAATTGAATTAAAATAATTAATTGAATAATCAGGAAATTAAAATAACCAGGAAATTAATTTTATTGAATTAAATTAATTGAATTAAAATAATTAATTGAATAACCAGGAAATTAATTTTATTAATTGAAATTTTAACATAGAAGAAAAATAATAATTGAATTAATTGAAAAAAAATTAATTTTAAAATAATTGAATTTATTTTAAAAAATAATTTTTGCGAATTAAAAATTAATTTTAAAAAATAATTGAATTAATTTTAACACAGGGTTCAACACTGTTCTTCATGTCGAAGAAAAAATTGAACAAAGAAGAACAGGTGAAGTCGAAGGGAAGAACAGGGGGGAAGTCGACAGTGAACAAAGGAGAAAGGAAGAAGAAGAAGAAGGAAGAAGTAGGAACTCACCTCGGAACGACGTCCGAAGAAGGAAGAAGAAGACCCAGATGATTCGGCTTTGGAAGTAGAAGACCCAGAAGACCCAGATGTCGACGAACGAAGTCGATCTAGGGTTTGGACTTCTTATTTAGTAATTAACTTTGTCGATGAAGGGCCTAGATGATTCGAACGAAGTCGATGAAGGGCCCAGATGATTCGAACTTAAATCAGGCCAAAATCTGATGAAGCGTCGCTTCTTTTTGCCTGGCGCTTCATCGCCTAAGCCTCGCTTCAGGCGCTTCACCATCGCCTCACCATTTCACCTCGCCTCAGTGTGCGTGAAGCGCTAAAGCCTCGCTTAGCGCTTAGGCTCGCCTCTGATAACACTGGGGTCTATGTAAAGATGCCTATGGTTTTGAATTTGAATATCTCTCTCTCTCTCTCTCTCTCTCTCTCTTCCATATTTGAATTTGGATTTCAAATTTCAATAACTTCAGTTCCAAGCCTTTATCTCTCTCTTTGCTGTTTCTGGTATTATAATGTTTACAGTCTAAATGCTTGAACATGTGCTTATGTGTTTCACTTCCTTTATCAATATACTAGCATATCTTTGTGTGACATCATTTTTTTTTGGGGGGGAGGGGGGGGATCAAACAGCTCAATTCACTACAAAGTTTTGTTCAGCAACTCCATTCATTTTATGTAGTTGTATGGCTTTATGATCATTGTATTGCTCAGCAATCTTTCATACCACTCACTGTAATACTGGTTTAACTATTTCTCTTGGTGTGCTCTTAATTATTTTGGCACTTAATTGAGTCCAACAAGCACTATACGAGCCATACTTACTATGCCCCATATTCCTTTTTCCTCTCATGCTCTGCTCATACAGTTTAATTTCTCTCTTCCCATGTCAATCTTGGTTTTTAATTTTGTTGTTTTTCCTTTGTGATGGTAGTTTTAAATTCTTAATTGGCAGGACTTTTGTTTTTTTTTTTTTTTAAATTTAATTTTTAATAATAAATTTATCTTATGTTTTTTGTTTGCAATAGTTTTTGATTTTGTGTCACCCATATGTTTACTTTTTAGTCAAGGTTTTGGGACCATTTCAGTTTTTATGGGCTACATGTTTGCTATAATTTATCTTTTGTGTTGAGTCCTAGAGGGTTATCTCTTATGCATTGAAGTAATAGAAAGAAAAAGCAACAACTAATACTGCTATAGTATCTCAATTTTCCCTCCTCAAAATTTTTTTGCAGGTCATTTAACTTGGAAAATACTTTGGGATCTCACACAAAGGCCAAGCACAAGCACAGTGCTGGACAATACATGGATTTGAAGAGAGAGCTTCTGAGTTCTGATTGGAAACTCTATGCTCAGTCTATTAGGTAGTTTTTATAATACTAAACTTTACTAAGTAGTAACTTTTTATATTCTGAGTGTTAATGTTAATTTGGTATGAAAATAAAATTGTGGAAAGGTTCTTTCTTCACAGAATGGTTAATTTTTTGATAAAGATTTCATGGATTCACTTCATAGATTGCATGATGGAATCTCAAGTGCCCAATTATAGCTTATTAATCAGGATTAGTTTTCTTGCTTGAAGTCTATTTTACTTTGAGTGTTGCTCAGGGTGCTACTCGTGCTCTGTCGCAGTTGTATACAAATGATGAATTTTCAGAATTCTATCAAAACCTAAACTAATTTTAAAGCATTTTTCCAGTTCTGTAAGGAAAAAAAAAAGTTTGGCCCTTGTTTTTGTATGAAATTAAACACAGTTGAAGGAGTAATTCTGAGTGGAATGAGAACCACTGAACAGAGAGAACCAGCATTATAGCATTAAATGCCATCTCCTCATTTCAGTTTGTTTGAGAACCATGAATTGTGTAATGAAGAACAAACATTAAGATAACTTCATTGTGCCTTTCTATATTTTTGTCTTTAGCTTCATACATTCACTGCTACCTCATGGAGATTTATTATTATTATTTATCATGTAATGGTGATGATATTGAAGGCATTTCAAAGGCTGTTTTGGTTCCTTCCGTGTCTTTTGATCAACTCCTAATGCGTTATCACTCAAAAAACAACCAAATAGGCTTGAATAGTTAATGCCTTAACTTTCATGAGCAAGGTAAGCTTTACTTAGCAATTTAATGTAGCATTTCTAATATATGATCGAATAGTTACTCATGCTTTTGAGTTTTGACTTTGAGAATTTTAAAATTGTTATGCTTATGCTTTTGGGTTTTTGGAGCAAGACAGGTAACCACTGATCAGCATAATAAATAAGTCTATTGTGGTACCCTCCTAACCAAATACTCTCATGCATTGTGAGTAATTGTTTCTTATTTTGCATAATTGTTGTGGCCTGTGCAATATTCATGTAATAGATTTCTTGTTATCTTAGTTCTTATTTTTATATTTGGGGACTCTCTTCATCCAAAAGGAGGTGAGTTTGCTTTAGGGTGTTGACAAGGACATGAAAAAGCTTTCAATCCCTCTTTCTACAAGTGATGAGACTAATAATTGCACCATCATCTGGTATGATGTTCTTGTTAGATTTATTTTTCTAGTGTGGCCCAATAGCCTACATATTTTCTACATGTTTTAATTTATTTGGACTCCACAAATAGATAAAGCCAATATTTGAGATCAAGTTCAGTAAATAGAATTTTAATATAATCACTCTTCTAAGATAAGAAGGAAACCTTGATGGATTAGGAATTCTTCTGATAGAGTTTATCTGGCCCTCTTCTCTCCTCTATATAAGGATGGGTGACTCCCCTTTCATATCATGAGTATTTTTCCATCACTTTAAGTTTTATAGTCATCCTAATTAAGAGAGACAGAGAGAAGAAGGTGAGCCAAAATTAAAGGTTCAACTCTAAGGGGTATTTTCTCAACTTCTCTAATTCAATGGCTGACAAAGGTATATTCGTTTTATTCTTGAGTTGTATTGAATTCAAGATCCTGTAAAGTTTAATTCCGCATTATTATTATGGTTACATGTATTATTAAATCTTACACATTTTTGAACTAATTTCATGGTTTGAACCATTCATTTTTTTAGATTTGTTGAGTAGAATATTCATGCAAAAAAATCAAGATGAATGGATATCAATAGTTATAAGTTTGAATCATATTTTTTTTTAAAAAATAGACGACAAATAAAATTTTAAAAATTACTATTCATTTTTTATAATTCAAATTTGATTTAAATATATAGCTATCGATATCCGATTATCTTTATTTTTTGTATAAATTTTTTACTTAACAAATCTTGAAATATGAACGGTATGGATCATCAAAATGAAACATGTGGTGGGTTTTATAGGCTTCTCAAGTTTATGTTCAAATTCTTCTTTTTTTATTTTATTTTTTTTTATTTATAAATATATAAACAATAAAAATCCTGGAAATAACTTTACATATCATTTTGTGCATAAATAATTTTTGAAAATTCAAAAAATAGTAGTGTTTTCTTAAAAAAAGGTGATTTTTGGAAATAATTTGCACGAAAGTTTTAGTAACAATTTTTGGTTTTCGTTTTTGAGAATGGAAAACAGAACTAAAATCATACCCAAATGCCTAACACACATGAGCAATTATTCTTCTAAAAACTTTATATGGCCACGTGCTCGTTCAATAAAAGTAAGTTATTTATATGGTTTTAAAAAATAAAACGTGAGAAAATCACAAAATATTGTTAGTTGGAAACACTTTCACGTGGTCTTTCCAAAATAATGGACAATTTTTAGACACATATATTTATATATTTGTAGGAAAATTTTATCATACACATTATTAAGGATGTAAGAAAAATTGAAAAAATCGATTAAACTAATTGAAATAGACCGTATCGATTATATTTGGTTTTTTTTTAAAAAAAGAATCGATTTGTGTGATTTTTTAATTTGATTTTTTTTTATTTTCGATTCGGTATCGGTTTAAATACGTTTTGCATTGAATTAAACCGAAACCGACCACTTCAACATGTATTGTCTTTATAATATACATAATCTAATAATTTAATGATATTAATAAGTATAATAAATTATTAAGCTTAATTAATTTATTTTTTTTCATATTTATAACTTTAATTTGTAAACTCTTATTATATATAATCTTAACTATAATTTATTATGACTTGGTTTGAAAAGTGGATTAATTTTTTGGCTATTTTAACTTGGGTTAAAAAGTCTCGTTTGGATAGACTTTTTGACTTTTGTGAGATAAAGAGTGAAATGATTATGATTTAGATGCGACATGTTATCTTATTAACTTTTTAACCTATTTTTATTTTTTTGTAACTATTTTAACCTTTTAGCCCTTAAAACCAACATGCCAAACAAAGGCTATTATTCTTAAAGTCTAGTAGCTTTTAACTTTTTTAGTTTGTTTGTATTTTTGTTAATCTATGAATTAAAAAGTATTTATTAAATGGATAGTTTGGATTTGTTTGAAGTAGTGGACAAATAATTAATTTAATATTTTTACATAGATTAGTGGCTATATTAAAAAGTGACTCAAGTTTGACAGGTTGTAGGCTGATTAAATTTTGTTAGTAAAAATATTAGAAAAAATTATATTTTATTGATAAATAATGCAAAGAAAATGAGATAGAAATAGATTAGGCTGAGGCACGTATATCTCGTTTTCAGCAGTCATAAACTATGACTTGTCACCTCCAGGATACAACAGCCGGACCACTTGTCGTATGGTTCGAGCCAACTCTACACAAGATAGTGAACCCAAAGCTCCACTAAGAAAAGCACATTTCTTTGCTAGTAATCTCTCTTGTATAGAAAATAGTTGGTGAGTTGATTTGTTGTTGTTAAAGAAAAGAGTAGAAGAGGGAACTATTTATAGGCCTCAAGGACATTACAAAATACATCAGCAATAACAATGGCCAAGAACCTAGAGAAAAAGGGAAAATGTATCCAAACATGAATTCACCACCAAGTTCATGAATTCAAATAAAACTCCATACATGAACAAGATAAAAAGACACCAAAATAATGAATCTCCATTCATAAACAAGATTAAATTCATGAATAAGAACAAAGGAAGATTCATGAACAAAATGAATAAATAAATAAATGATATTAAAATGAACCAACAGTATTACTTTCTGATTTATGATTAAATAAGAGTTTCTGGATTAATCTTAAATTTTAATTTTTTGATTACATCATTGTGGTTGATTTTCTAAGAATAGAAATTTCATGGGTTTAACATAAATTTTTGAATCTGTTGAATCGGTGTGACTTTTCAATATTGTTATATTGTTATTGCAATATTGTGTTTAGTTTCAGTTATTTATTCTGGTTTGAATACATGATCGGATAATTTTCAATATAAATTTTTATTTTGTATTTTTTGATTTGTGTAATTAGAATTTTTTATTCTATTTTCTGGGTAATCCGTTGTATACATTATTCAGTCTTTTTAGAAACATAAAACGTTTCTGGTTTCTGAGTTTTATATATAAATTTTAGAATCTGGTTTTACAGTTTTTGAGTTTTCTAATAAGGAAAAAAAAAAATTGTTTTTCATCGCTTTATTTATATTCCTGCATTTGTGGTTATCATATGTTTCGGATATTTATATAGTTTTTCTGTTTTGGTTAAACAATTTTGTCAAAAACAAAATAAAATAAAAATAAAAACGTTTCTTGGGTTTGTAAAACATAAATTTCCATGCTTTATATGAAATACATAATTTTTAATATTTTGCAAGAGATTTGTAAGTCAAGTGTCTTACCAACAGAATTGGTTTCTGTGTTATGCTAATTGGTGTGCTGCATTACATGTTTAATGGTGAAGTGGGTATTCTGAATAAGATAGGTTTTTAATCGTTATTAGACAAATTATTTTATAGACATGATAATTATTATGTCTAGTCTTTGCCATGCCTCGCGTAGTAATTACTATTGATTCATGGGCGTACTAATTTTTAACATTTCTAATTAATTTGAAATGAGTTTTTTGCCATGAAATTCTTACGGCATATTGTGTGATATGTGTTATTTTTTGATTGATTTTATTCTAGTACTAATTTTTAACATTTCTAATTAATTTGAAATGAGTTTTTTGCCATGAAATTCTTACGGCATATTGTGTGATATGTGTTATTTTTTGATTGATTTTATTCTAGTACTAATTTTTAACATTTCTAATTAATTTGAAATGAGTTTTTTGCCATGAAATTCTTACGGCATATTGTGTGATATGTGTTATTTTTTGATTGATTTTATTCTAGTACTAATTTTTAACATTTCTAATTAATTTGAAATGAGTTTTTTGCCATGAAATTCTTACGGCATATTGTGTGATATGTGTTATTTTTTGATTGATTTTATTCTAGTACTAATTTTTAACATTTCTAATTAATTTGAAATGAGTTTTTTGCCATGAAATTCTTACGGCATATTGTGTGATATGTGTTATTTTTTGATTGATTTTATTCTAGTACTAATTTTTAACATTTCTAATTAATTTGAAATGAGTTTTTTGCCATGAAATTCTTACGGCATATTGTGTGATATGTGTTATTTTTTGATTGATTTTATTCTAGTACTAATTTTTAACATTTCTAATTAATTTGAAATGAGTTTTTTGCCATGAAATTCTTACGGCATATTGTGTGATATGTGTTATTTTTTGATTGATTTTATTCTAGTACTAATTTTTAACATTTCTAATTAATTTGAAATGAGTTTTTTGCCATGAAATTCTTACGGCATATTGTGTGATATGTGTTATTTTTTGATTGATTTTATTCTAGTACTAATTTTTAACATTTCTAATTAATTTGAAATGAGTTTTTTGCCATGAAATTCTTACGGCATATTGTGTGATATGTGTTATTTTTTGATTGATTTTATTCTAGTACTAATTTTTAACATTTCTAATTAATTTGAAATGAGTTTTTTGCCATGAAATTCTTACGGCATATTGTGTGATATGTGTTATTTTTTGATTGATTTTATTCTAGTACTAATTTTTAACATTTCTAATTAATTTGAAATGAGTTTTTGCCATGAAATTCTTACGGCATATTGTGTGAT